CCCTGCGCACCCGAGGGCCGCGGTGCGCACGCCCGGCCGGTCTTCACCCGCGTCCCCTCCGCTCCCCGCAGCCGAAACGAAGATTTGGAGGAGATCGCTTCCAGTGACCTGAAGTACCTGATGTTGCCAGCGTTTCAGGGAGCGCTCGCCATGAAGCAAGTGAACCCCAGCAAGCGTCTGGATCATCTGCAGCGGGCGCGAGAACACTTTTTAAAGTACTTAACTCAGTGCCAGCACTATCGCGTGGCGGAGTTTGAGCTGCCCAAACCCAAGGACGAGTCCGCTGGAAGTAACACTGCCGAAAGTAACACTGCCGAAAGTTCCTCCGTGGCCTATCCTAACCTCTTTGCTATGGCAGCTCAGAGACAGGCTAAAATAGAGAGGTGGGTCAAAAGCTGTCATTTCAACACCGTCCAGTGAATGGCAGGGCATCGGGGTGGCGGGTGCATGTTTGCTTTTTGTTGGGGGAGGGTGGGGACAGTGCTCTGAGTCACTCTTTTGGTTCTTAATGAGCATAGCCCCTGGTGAGAGCAAGCCCTCCTGAGTTTTTCGAGAAGCCTCTCCCTTTGTCGAGATGATCATCCCTAATGGTCAGACCCCCTACTACCTTACAATGCGGAGCAAAGTGTCTCCCCATCCCACATCACAGCTGTCATATGGCACAGCAGGCAAATGGCTGAAGGGCGCAGAATCTTGTAGCGATAGCCCATTTACGGTCCTTTGATTGAGAATCTCCGCTGTCCCAGTACTGGATCAAACGGGTAACGTCCTGTCACAGCTGTACCGCGTGACCGCGAACAACTTGCTTATTCTCAGTTTAGTTTAAGGAAACGGTTAATGAACGTGCCTAGGAGCTGCGCTAGACGCCGGGGGCACAGAAACGGTATCAGTACAAAATGCTGTGATCGAAAGATGTACAAAGTACCGTGAGGACAGACGGAAGAGGCACCTATCCGAAGAGGGAGCAGGAGAGAAGAGAAGGCTCCCTAGAACAGGTGACTCCTGTGATGACTTGTGTAAGGATGAATAGGAATATAATCTCGAAGAGGAAGGGAGAGCATTAGCCAGCAGCGAGCGTAGCATCAGTGAGGGACAGGGCGTTGCACAGCTGTGCTGGGCTGCGGAATAGCTGTAGGCGATCGGGTGATGTTCGAACGCAAAGAGGTGGCATCATGATGCTGAAGACTGTCATAGCGTTCAGACCTGGGGGACAGGCTGCGCTGTCAGAAAGGCGGAGGCACAGCCTCGTCGCTGACACGGCGGGAGGGGTTTGCGTCCCAGCTCTACCATTCAGTGACTCTGACTTTGGTGGAGTCGCTTCATCTCTCGTTGCCTTCATTTCCCCAGCTGTAAAATTGGATAATAGGTCCTTTCTGACACAGAAAAAGCATAGCACAGTGTCCGAGTCAGGAAGCACTAGAGTCAGCTGCTGCCACAGCTTTGTGGCCGATGTAGGTTGTGGAGTCAGAGCTGGGTTTGAGAGGCGGCTTTGATTATAAGCCGTTGCGCTTTGCATAACTTATTTAATCTGTCTAGCCTCAGGTTTACTCATAAGTGAAATCTAAGTAATGGTAATTATCTCAGGGTTAGGCATGAATAAGATAAAGCATATAGTACAGCTAAGCACAGTATCTGGCACTCAGTAAATATTTTATAAATTTTACTGTTAGGCCGTGCTAAAGAGCTCAAAATTCAGCTGATGATTGTGGTCCACTGGAGTGTTCCTTTTTCACAAAGAGCAACACTGTCATGTTGCATTTAACTAGCATCCTTTGGCAGTTAGGAAGCAATGTGGAGGACAGGATTAGATCCCATTCAGTCACAGAAGTGATGAGGCCTCACTCTGTCAGTGGCAGAGGGATGGGGGGATATGTTTATTTAGGAGGGTTGACTCTGCAGAAAACCTGGTGATCAATTGCTTGTGGGAGCTGGGGTATCAGGGAGGAGCAAAGGAGATGGCCATGTTCCTGACTCAGCTGGGCGGCGGCGGAAGTCGCTAAGATGGGGAATGGAGGAGTAAGATTATATCTGAGTCGGGGAGAGCATGACTTTGGGACCGAGGCTTGGCGCCTTTGTGAGGTGCCTAGGAGACATCCACGTAGACGTATCTGGTAGCATGAAAGTCGGGAGAGGCCTGATCTGAAAAGCTGCAAATGGATTCGTTCGCTCGACAGATGTTTATGGAGCCTTTCCTGTGTGCCAGGAACTGTGCTAGGTCATGGAGAGCCAGATTAAGTCTATGCTCTCATGGAGCTTTTATTTTGGCGAGGAGACAGGCAGTAAGATAGTAAATAATGCTGTAATTTTAGGTGGTGAGGGCTATAAAGAATAGTAACGTACGCTTAGAGGCTAGCGAGTGACTAGTAGAGAAGTAGAAGCTAGGTAAGTAATGAGTCTCATTTTAGATTTACTGAATTTAGTTCACCAAATGACAACTGGATAGCCAGGCCCATAGACAGATGGAGATGTGTAACTAAAACTTGGGAGACAGTTTTGTGGCTAGCGCTAAAAATTTAGGAGCTCTGCTGGGTGTGGATAGTTGGCCATGGAAGAATGGGTAGAAAGAAAACAGCCAAGGATAAAACCTTTGGGGGGCAAGTTAAGGGAGGAGGGCGGGGAAGGAAGGAACAGTCAGAGGTAAGAGACGCGACAGGGTACAGGAAGAAGTGCTTATAGGAGCCTGCGGAGAAGGGGCAGCAGAAGTCGTGTCCCGCAGAGGCTTCTGCCTGTCCCCCCCCCAGGTGCTGTCATACTATTTTGTGCCGCTCATAGCTGCGTTATTCTCTAGAGCTGGAATTCCTGAAGGTCAGGGACCTTGACCAGTTGCATCCTTCGTATCCGACTGTGTTACTGCATCCTTGGTGCCCAGTCCAGACACGGGCTCACAGTAGCTACTCGAGGTGTCTTGGAGGGGGGGGCGGGGCAGACGGAATACTCACTAGAAAGATGGGAGCGATGTGGGGGAGCAGAAAAGGCCTGGATTTTGGAGTCTGACCTGGGGCGACCAATCCAATTTCTACCACTTTATTGGCGAGGCATCATCTAGCCCCCCGGCCTTAATTTTCTTATCGGCTATCAATATTTGTATTATACTGCTGCTTACAAAGCACTTTCAATGCTCCCTTTGACCCTCTTAACAACCCCACAAAGCAAATGCTACCCCACTTTAAAGATAAGGAAATGGGCTCTGACAATTGACTTGTTCAAAGTTCCACAGCTAGTTAGGTGGCCAGGCATCTGATTGCAAAGGCCTGGAGCGGGCGGTCAGGCAGCGCTACTGCGGGACACTTGGGGACCGTGGACATTCCCCTTGACTCTCTTTCTCTTGAACCTTTGCGTTCATCAAACTGGCAAATCCTGTCTTGTAGATTTTAAATACGTCCATCCGTCACCACGTCCCCGTTTCAAGTCACTTGTCTCCTCTGGATTGCGGTCACCTGCGCTTCCACCTGTGCTTCCCAGCCCCCACAGGCCACACAGAGCAGCTGGAGTGGCCCATATAAAAAAACGTGTTCGTGTCACTATTCCTGTCCTGTATTCTAGTCCAGCCTCCAGCGGCTTTTCCATGTCACTCGGAATATGGCATTTGCTATATTGGGTCTTGTTCCCTCTAGCCTTCTACAAATTTAGGCCCTGGCTACCTGTCTGACCTCTTTCCCATCGTTCTTCACCGCACGCCGCCAGTCCGTGCACTTGACCTTGCTGTTTGCGTCTTGCCAGCACTGATCACCATCTGCCGCCTCATCTGTTCCGTTGCGTCCGCTCCCACTAGAATGAAAGCTTCAGGAGAACAGGGACATTGTTGTATACACAGCGGTGTCGCCAGCACTGAGAACAGTGCCTGTGACACACTAGGTACTCAGTAAACATTTGTTGAGTGAATGATGGATAATAGAATGCGTCCTGCCAAGGGCAGGCAGGGCGCTCGTGAGTCTGAGAGCGGAATGACTCAGAGAGCCGGGAGCGTTTTGCCCAGCAGAAGACCTGATTATTTTTCAGGTCGTTTCACAAGGAATTCCTGCATTAGTGGCAGGTCACTGACCCCTAAGATTCTGTGATTCTCTGAAACTGCAATTCCCAAACGGCCATGGTGCGACACTGAGCGCCCAGCCTAGTGAACGTTGATGGAATAAAACCGCTGAGGCCTTGCTCAGACCAGGTTATTTCTATATTTTTCTGGCTTCGGAATGTATTTGTCAGCCCCTGTCGATCCCATCCTTGCCTCGTCGCCTTGAGAGAATGGCCTCGGTGGCATGTTCTCAGGTCCAGAATGTGTATTTTCGCCAAGGCGGAAATTGGCATGCTGACCGGTCACTTACAGAGTGCAAACCTTATCGCGACCGTTCGAAGGAACATCTGAGTTCACGGGGGACGCGTTTCTGTGGAACAGGTACAAGCAGAGGAAGGAGGTGGAGCGGAGGCTGGCCGCCCAGAAGGCCGCCGTGGAAAGCGGCCAGGCAGACGACGACCAAATGCGTGAGTACTACCTGCTTCTCCTGCGAAGGTGGGTCGGTGTCAGCCTAGAGGAGATCGAGAGCATCGACCAAGAGATGAAGATCCTGCGCGAGAAGGACTCGCCAAGGGAGGTAAGCCTGCTGCCGCACCGCCTGGCGGGGTCCGCAGGAGAGTCGTCGAATTCAAGGTGCTGCCGGGCATCCAGGAGACCCCCGTTCCCATGGAGACCAGCGAGGCAGGCTGCAGGCACGCTGGGGTGGTGCTCTGTCTAGCAGGCCGCGTGGGCCCCGGCGCCTGCCACCCGGAGCCACGCCTGCAGCCGTTTGGGATTTTGTGACATGGGGCGGGAGAGAGGAGCGCGTAGGGAGAAGACGGAACGAGAGGCAGATGTGTGCAGGCGGGGGGAGCAGCCCGAAGTCAGGCTTACAGCACGATGCACTCTGGGCACCTTTAGGTCACCCAGGTATGACACACAGCAAGGACAGCCGCGTGCACACACGGGGGGCGTGCCGGTAGAGGAAACCCGGGGTACACAGCTCTGGCTGTCCACGGGTCATAACCCAGAAGTCTGGGCTCATTAGTGTTCTGCCCCGTGATTCAGTTTGCACTAATGAGCCCAGGTGATGTCGCCTCTTCTGGGTAGCATCAGCCCGGTGCCCCGTGTCCAAAGTAAAAGACTGAACGTTAGCGTTCGAAGGCCCCGTGGCCGCTTGAGCTCTCTGCATGAGCGGTTTTCACACGTGGCGAGGCTGGACTCTTCTGGGTCCTCCCCTGCCCCTTTCTTTGTCACTGCCGTTGTTTTTTAATGCCCTCTCGTGTGGTGACATTGCTGAGATGGCCCCAGAACCTAACGAACACCTTTTCGAGCAGACCGTTTCATGTTACATTGTGCCCCTGGACAGCCAAGGCTCCTTGAAACATTTGTTCGCGACTGTGTGTGAAAACTCTGAACCCAGTGTCTCCCCCTCGCATTTGAGAATACCACTTCGGACGTACCTCAGGGGGTTCTCGACTAATAGCATAATTTAGGAACGGGGTATAGAAGAAGGCTCTTAATTCAACTTCAGCACTGCAGGCCAGGCTGAGGAGAGGGGCCCCAAATTGGCTCAGGGGGTTTCGATGGAACATGGAAGAAGGCTTTGGAACCTGCTTTGGAGGGGAGGATTTTAAAGCCAAGTAGTTCTTTAGTCACAGTGACATGAGTCCTGGGAGGGCTTCTGCTTCCTCTCTCTTCAGCAAGGTTCTCGGGCATCCTCAGAAGAGCCACACAACCTCCAGCATCAGTATCCTGCCGCTG